GAGAGGTATGGCTGGCGCACTCGGCCGGAGCGGCTTGCAAAAGCTCCAAGTCTACTTGTGACGAGGATCGGACCGACTCCTGCGTGACGTGGTCGGGAGGGTCCCGCACTGCCCTGTGCGGTGCCGGACCGATGCGCTCGACAGCGCGCCCAGTCAGATATGGATGCAGACCCATGCACAAATCTTGCCAACATACTGCGCCAGGTGTATTCGTGCTTCGGTCGAATATGTCGCCTAAATGGTCTTTCCTTGTGACAGACCCCCGCAGGTTTTCTATATACAGTCTTCAAAGGAGGCCTAGGGGCATTCATATTCCAATCAATAGCAAAGCACGCCATCCTCGCTCCGTACGATTTGTCAAAGTGGATACGCTTCGGAGCAAACTTGTTCATTATAGAATGACCGGTTTCGTTGTCGTAGGTCATACGAGCTCGAGTATAGCACCTCATGCTCGACTTCGACGCCTCGCCAAATAAAAGTTTTGCAACATCCTTCTGAGCAGTGCTTCCGTTCTTGTACGCAGGTTGTGCACCTGTGCCCCCAAGAGCTCTGCAAACGGATGGAACATGCTCATGTAATGACCTGCCATAACACAGACTGAGAACACTGCTGATTTATGAAGTTCTACCGATGGAATGGATGCCTTGCCAAGATTCCCGCATTCTGCTATGTTTTCTAAGTCTGTACGTGTGCGTGCCTGTCTGAGTGCTTGTCGGCATGAGTGTGTGTGTGACCAGCGAGGGTCCTTGCTTGTTTGGCAGGCCCGTAGGGCCGAAACTTACCTGTGGTCGTGGCATTGAGGGTTGCAGCAGGGAAAACACTCAAGTAGTGGAGCTAGGGGCCCGCAGTGCTTAGAGCAGCGGAAAAACACTCAAGTTGCAGGTAGGCCGGTACCGCACCCAGTAGCAATAGATGTGCCGGGTACTCGAGGCCGAGCAGAAGAAGACAAAGTTGGCATTTTTAGAGGCCCAGTAGCGGTAGGCTAGGTCTAGGCCGGTACCAGTCCATCCAGTCTGAGTCTAGAGCCTGTAGGGGCAATATCAGAGTGTGTAATGATGTTTCCCTCCGAAAGGGAGGAGGTACCGGTTGCTTGGGAGGCCGAGCGGCCTGGAAGTCACCGCCCAGGAGGCAAGCAGGCCGCTATATCAAGAGGCCGAGCCAAGAGCTCGCCCTCATTCTTCAGTGTGCAAGTTTGGCGACACGCCGCTGGAGCGCTGGCTGGGGTGGCGCTGGGTACTACAACGCTGTTGGGAGGAAGAAGCCGGGGAGCTTCCACCTTGGCTATGGTGGAGCTCTACCGGTTGGAGGAGGAGGGGGAAGGAGACCAAGGAGGAGAGTGGTGGGGTACTTACCTGGCTATGGTAGACACCATCTTCATCACCTTGTTAGGCGCTGCATCTGGAAGGCCCCCGTGGGGGTAGTGCCACATCAAGGAAGCTCGGGACAGAGTCAGGCATAGCGGTTGAGTGAGCAGCGGCATAGTTGCATGGAGTTGACCTGGGGACAGAAGGGCAGCGACATCGCTGCTTTGGGTTGTCCTTTGGACATGAGGGCGAGCCCTCAGTTCTCCGCCATACCCTTGACCTGTATGTAGAGAAAGAGGAAGGATGGCCATGGCTATGGTGGACCCCATGTCGTGCCTGCAGTAGAAGTGGGATTCGGACATTGATTCTGGTTCAGCCATTCAACATTATTATTGTTATTTCTTGTTTGAATAAGAGGGGAGGAGATAAGGAGGAGGAGATTGGTTGGCGAGGGAGAAGAGCCTTGTCATTGGTCTATGCTGGAGTACATCATCTTCTTTTTCTTTCTTACTTCTTCTTCTTCTTCTTTCCCTCTCTCTCCTCTCAAGTTCATTCATTTCTTTTTGCAATTGGACGGCATTGTACTTTCTGATGTTTACACTTCGAAATTGGCCAGGATCGTAACATTGGTATCAGAGCGGATTCTACTTGTTGGCGAGAGTCGACTTTGCTGCCATAACCCTAACCCTAGTGGTAAGGGCTAACCACTTAGGGTTAGGGCGAAAGTTAGGGTTAAGTGGGGCAACGTGGTAAAGGGAAGCTGCCCCCACCTGGCAGGGCCGTGTAGGGTCGACACTAGACTCGGCCAGGTTGCTTGAGTGCATGCTTGTGGTGGCGAGACACAAGGTGGGACTTTGTGATGCAACTTGAGAGAGGCGACAGTGAAGGGCACCTACAACTTGAATCTGGACTTCAAGGAAGACGAGGAGTGACTTTAGGGCTCCCCTCAAGCTTGGAGAGAGATCCTCGCCATTTACCCTGGCCTAGTCTCACAAGCTCATCAGCGGCCTTCCTTATCAGCAAATCTGGTTTCTAGACCCTGAAAGATAGTGTCCAGACCAATCACAACAATCCAATCGTCTAGCTGCTTCTGGGCCTTGTTGGCCTCAGAAGTTGCCCACTTCAGCGCAGCCCCTACCAGGAGGGCCACTGTGGCACGTACCTTGTCCAGCTCTGGACAGGTATAACCCCTGAGGTGCAACCTCATTTGGGCTATCCAGTCTGAGATGTCCACTTTGGGGTCTTCCACAGTGAACTTGTCAGGCTGGGCCATCTTGGGAAACCGCGGTGTAGACTGGACATAGCTAGAATTTGGTCCCGGTGTGGGCACTATGCCAGGATGGGGTTGTTGTGGTGGTGAGGTAACAGGTGGAGGGGTAGGAGTAGGAGTGGGGGGAGGGGTAGGAGTAGGAGTAGGGGTAGGAGATGGTGGGAAGTGCCTGAAGAAGGCATCTGATAGTCGTTGCAGGGTGGTGTCCATCGAGGCCAATCTGGTCTCTACAGCTGTAATCCTGACATCCCAGGCTGAAAAAACATTCTTGGTACGAGTGGATTCCAGCAGGGCCCACTCTGCAAGATTCTGAACAATGTCAGAAATACGGCCATCAGACTTGGCCTTCTCAAAGCTCTCCAGCAGCTCAGCTTGTCTGGCTGCTGTCATTCCTTTCTGGACCGCTTCTACCTTTCCTCTCTCAATTCTTTCCACTTCCTTATGAGCTTTGGCAGCAATTTCCTTTGCTGCTCGCAGGGCGGCTTCCACCGGGTCCTCCACTACTTTTTCTTGTTTCCCCTCTCCGTCAGGCGTGGCTGTTTCCCCAACCTCCTTCTTTACCTCCTCTGCCATTCTGGTCTTTTAACCTTTTATTTGTTAGATAGATACAGATAAAATAGAAGTAAAACAACTCAGATTACCGTTCACACCTAGAACTCAGATAACGAGAATTAGTGTTGCATACCGTAACGGTGCAGACCAAAACAAGAACCGACCTCTCTCACAAAGTACAAGATAGCGTAGCGGAAGACTTAGATACCAATGATCCGAACAATCAATGTTGCAATGCAGCCCCAAACATATATCATCATCATCCCGTGGTGTGAAGGGGCCTGGCGCTCACACACGAAGATTGCGCCAGTCCCCAACCATACACAGACCAAGAAGAGGGGGGTTAGACGAAGAAGAGGGGAAGATGGGACAGGTAGCGAGAGGGTGAAGAAGAGATGGTGGACTTAGAAGAGGAAGAAGAACTCTCTCTCTCTCTCTTTGTCCGGTACTAACCTGTGAAGTTGGCGCCTTGATGCACGTACCTCGAGTGCTGTTGCCGAATCCTGAAGACTACTCCTGCCTTCTGCCTACCCGTGAAGTGCATGGGAACTCCCTATGTACTACCTCGGCCTCCCTCCTGACTCTTGCCACTGCCAAAACGAGCCAGGGCCTGGCGCTGCAGCTCCTGCTGAGGCTGTTGTGGGAGCAGGCCAAAAATAGCCTGTTCCTAAAACCCTGGTTTGGTGCCTGAGTGTCAGGACAGGTCGATCTTATGAGGGCCCGAAAGTGGCCCTCCGTTTCAGGCTGAAAAGACTCAGGGCCTGGACGACCCTGTTTTAGGTTGAAACGACATAGGGCCTGCAGGCCCTTGTTTTCAGGCTTTCAGACTGAAACAACACAGGGCCTGTAAGCCCTTATTTTCAGGCTTTTAGGCTGCAAACGATGATCGGGCCCTGCAGGCCCGTATGGCTACGTAGTATCCCACACCCCCCCCTCCTTGAAAGACCGGGAGGGTGAAGCTGTCTGTCGGAGGGATGGACCATAGTCCGGGAGGGGCAGGTCATGACATTCCCTTAGCTAACGTTCGCCGCTTGTAGTGAGCGTAGATCAGCAGTGCGGATGTTTTCAAATCTGCTCTTGAAATCCATCCAGTGTCGTCGGGATCGCATGCTTTGAATGTAACCTTGTACTGTCGAGGCTTGCTGCCGTACTTGCGATCCGTGATGATGCGGTCAACTTCCTGATGACCATCCATAGATGGAGGATCTTGCGATCTTCGGCCCGGGAAGTCGTCGCTCTTAGCTGGTGTATATGTCGCCAGCTTCAAGGCATGAAAGACTGGATGGACCGTCAGATGTGGGGGGATGTTGATCACAAATGAGGGGCCATCGGGCTCATCGCCCGCGGCTGATGTTACGGGCCATGGTCCAAACCACTTGGGAAGCAGTTTGCGTGAAACATCCTGCTCAAGTGCAAACTCTTCTGCGGAGACCCACACCAGATCACCGGCGCAAATGGGACATGGCACGCGACGCTTGTTGGCTTGCTGCTGCATGCGGACTTAAGCCTTTTGCATGTTCGCGCGGGCTTGAGCCAGCAGTTCCCTGTACTTCCGGACGGAAGCGGGGGAGCAACCAACGTCTATGTCGGTTGTTCGTGGGAGGGGAAGATCAGCGAAGATACGGCCTTTCCGGCCACCGTGGTGCAACTCGAATGGAGTCACGCCAATCGCCGGATGCATCGAAGTGTTGTAGGCGAATTCGATGTGTGGGAGGCGGTCAACCCAATCCTTCTGATCCGGATGGATGAGAGTACGAAGCATCATTTGAGCGGTTTGATGTACCCGCTCCGTTTGCCCGTCCGTTTGTGGATGCCGACCCGAACTTGGTTTCATCTTCGTGCCGGATTCCTGCATGAGAGAAGTCCAAAATGCCGACATGAAGCAATTGTCGCGCTCGCTGACGATGCCTTTCGGTACGCCGTGGCTGCAAATCCAGCCGGTGTGTAAGAGGCGCACAAGTTCGGGAGCCGTGGCGTAGTACTTGCAAGGAAGAAATCACGCATACTTACTCAAACGGTCAACGGCCGTGAGGATGCCGTCGTGCCTGAGGCGGTCGCGGGGAAACGGACTGGTGACGTCCATAGCAATGGAGAGGCCGGGTTCCCGTGGCATAGGCATCGGACGCAACTCGCCGTAGGGATTGCGGTTGTGGGGCTTGCTTCGTCAGCAAACTTCGCAAGAGTCGCAATACCGAGTGACATCGGTAATGAGGTCGGGCCATCGGAATCGTTGTCGAAGTCGTGCAATAGTGCGATTGACTCCGAAATGGCCGGTGAGTCGCGAGTCATGGTACTCCCCGAGAAGGCGAGTCCTAAGACGACGGTCTCGTGGAACACACAATAAGTCTTTGCCTCTCGAGTGGAGGAGCAAGTACCCGTCGACGATGCGATAGTGGCTCGCAGGCGGGTGATCCGGAGATAGTTGTGCATACAACGTGGCGAAATCCGGATCAGACTCATAGCCCCGGATGAAGTGTCGTTGGAGTTCCTCGTCGAATGCGAAGGCATGGTGTGTCATAGCGCAAAGATCGGGCCTTCGCGAGAGTGCATCTGCGGCGCGATTGGAGAGGCCGGCGAGATGTTTCGGTGTGAAGTCAAATTGGTCGATGAAGTACATCCATCGTCCGATCGTGCTGCTCACCGTATCCTGCGTCTTGTAGTAGGTCAACGGGTTGTTGTCCGTGACCCATGTGAACCTACGATGCCCAAGTGAATTGAGAGCCATCACGAACGCGAGCAGCTCCTTTTTCCTTGCATCATCAAGTGAATTGATGGGAGGCACTTTGTGGCTGAAATACTCCACGGGGTGCCAGTCGTCGCCGTCGTGTTGTTCCAAGACTGCCCCAATGCCACAACCGGAAGAGTCAGTTGTCACTCTCGTTGGCAGGGTGGGGTCGTAGATGCTAAGGGCGGGTGCCATAAGCATGGTCGTCTTGAGTGCTTGGAATGACCGGCGTGCGTCGTCATCGAATACGAATGGCACCTTTGGCGATTGTAATCTCGTCATAGGTGTGGCAGTCCTTGAGTACCCAGTGATGAAGCGTTGATAGTAGCTGACCAACCCCATGAATGAGCGAACGTCCGTGGTGTTGGTGGGCTCGGGCCATACGCGGATGGCCTCGATCTTGTCCGCAAGCGGACGGATGCCTTGCGACGTCACATAATGTCCCAAGTACTCCAACTCTTGCCGCGCAAATTCGCATTTGTCGCGGTTGGCTTTGTACTTGGCTTGTCGTAGCCGCTCCAAAAGGTGCGCAGGTGCTCCAGATGCTCGTCCAAACTCCGGCTGTACACCAAAATGTCGTCGAGGTAGATGAGTACGAATCTATCCAGCATGTGTCGGAACTCCGTTGTCATAGCCGCTTGGAATGTGGTCGGGGCATTCGTAAGGCAAAAAGGCATAACCAGCCATTCGAAATGCCCATATCTGTCTTAAACGCGGACTTGTAGCGGTCCTCCTGTCGGATCTCGAGTTGGTGATATTCCGATTTGAGGTCAAGCTTGGAGAAGAACTTGGCGCCGCCCAGTCGTTCGAGGAGGTCGTCGATGCGCGGAAGAGGGCCGACGTTCTTGACGGTTTGCGCGTTCAGCTTGCGATAATCGATGCACAACCGCAAATCCTTGTTCTTCTTCCGGACGAAGAGAACGGGAGCTCCGTATGGCGAAGAGCTAGGCCGAATCCAGCCTTTCTCGAGAAGGTCGTCGAGTTCTGCCCGCAGCACACTTAACTCTTCCTCACTCATGCGGTAGATGCAACCACGCGGAGGTACGGCCCCGACCTCGAGGATGATCTCGTGGCGGATGGGCTGATCCGGTACTACTTCGTGTGGGGATTCGAACATGTCGTCGTAGGCGTCGAGAAACTCGGTGATGCGTGGGTCCGATGATGAGTCCGTCGATGGAATGTCATGGGGCGGGAGGGCGTGGAGAAAACATACCCCCATCTCCTCGATGTCATCCCTGATGATGGAAACTTGAATGCTTGCGGCGGACACCACGTGGCAGCTGATCGAAGGGTGAGGAGGAGGCACCGTGCATGGGACTAGTACTCCATTCCAGTCACGAACGTGAACGGTGCAGCAGTAGAAGTTCATCGGGTGAGCCTCGCTTCGCAACCATGACATGCCCGAGATCATGTCGAACTTGGTGTCCAAAATGTCGAAGGACACGGCCTCGCTTGCATGCGGGGCAAAGTACACGGGGACATCATCAATGCATCCGTCGATTGACTTGTGCGTGTGACCGTCAGCCAACGTGACTTGCGTGGGCTGCAACTTCCTCCGAACGTATGGCCCAAGGCCAGCGCGTACCATAAAGTCTTGGCTCATGTAGTTGCGAGTAGCTCCGCAGTCGATCAAAGCGCTGCAGGTCGCCTCTCCGATCTGAATGCGTATGTACAACAATGGCGCATCGATGTCGTCGTACCGTTGTGTCTTCAACTCGCGGTCGATCTGCGCAACGTAGTCGTGAAGGTTGACAGCCTCTACTCCGGTGTCCATCAACGGAGTTGGTACTGCAGTGTGCAAGTAATCCCGCATTTGTGCCATGAGCACGTTGCAATGCGGTTTCGGCAATCGACCGGACGGGGGAAGGGGCATCCATTGGAAGTCCGCAAACGTCAATGGGTCGAGCTCGTCAAGTATTGACCATGACGTCGAATCCCCGACGATAGATGGCAGCGAAGCTGCCGAATCGGTTGCCGATGGTGGTGAAACTGTGCATTCGGTGGATTGTTGCACGTGGAGTGGTTGGTCCAACGGTGGGACCAAGTGGACAGCATAATCCTCGTAAGTGAACCGAGGACTTGCGACATTCGCATCCTCCCCAGATGTGTAGGAGGCCGCTAGCAAGGCGGCCGAATCTGGCGGAGTGAGAGGTGGAGTCGCCTCACCTCCCGCACAACTCAGTTTCTCGAGTTGATGCGAGGCCGAACATCCTCCTTGCCTTGATCCGGGCATTGGGAGGTCTTGTGCTTGGTGCTGTTGCACCAATAGCAGCAGCCATACCGCCCGCACCACTTGTATTCGGCCTCGGTCAAGTGAAACTTGACCCATGGTGCTGGCTGTCCGTTTCCGGCCGGCGATGCGGTTTTCGCCTTCCCTTTTCCTCGGGAGTTGTTGTTGCTTCGTGGCTGGACAGCGGCCACCTGATCTCCCTCACGTGATGCTCGGGTGGCTGCCGTGTCTTCCACAATGTTGTTCGGTTGGACTGCAGCGACATGCTGCGGACGCGGACCAAATTTTCCTTTCTCCACATAGGTTGGCTGCCACGCTGACTTCTCATGTGCAGCCGCCCTATTGGTCTTGATGATCTCCCTTGCCTTGTCGATGATTTCGGCGAAGGTCGTGTATTGCTCGCGATCACCAAGTGCGAGGCTCAAGGCGGCACATGACTGGTTGTAGAACTCTCGGCGCAAATGCGAAAATGACAATTCGAGATTGGGCGTTGCCGCGATCTGTTGCCATTCCGTGAGCCAGTCGCGTGTCGATGTGTTGCCTTGCGTCATAGCGAAGTCCACGATGAACCGCTTCTCCCATAGCCTCGTTAACTCTTCCCAAGAGATCTTCTCATGCAGATCCACGACCTGGACGCCGTGAGTGGTTGCCAGGTGGCTGAGCCAGATCTGCCATCCGCCCTTTGAGTTGAGGGACAGCGCGTCGATGTACGAGTGCTCGGGGACAAAAAGAATCCGAAGTTGCGTCGTAAAGCCCTCCCACCAGGTGACCGGGTCGTGATGCGTATAATCATCAAACTTTTCGATTTGGAATGTCAGCATCTTGTAGTGCTGCGCACTGGTGTTGCCATCCTTGTTGGGCCGCTGGTGCAGTTGCTGAACCTCGGTCTTCAAGGTGTCCAGCTGCTTGCTGATGGTGGCTCTGCTGACGTGGCACTGTACCAACCGGGAATGCAGGCAAAGGGTTGCGTGGGAGGGAAAACGCAGGTAGGTAACCAACCAAGCTATACTTTCCTCCCGGTCCTAATCAACATAATAAAATAAAAAAATAAAAGAAGAGGATCACCCCCCCTTTTTTTTTTGTATATCTGTCCATCTTGTTATGAGTTAGGCATCTCAGAGGAGTACTGTGAGCGAGATCTAGGCCAGGTTCCGCAAAGTTTCGGCTTTCACAAAAATGCGATCTTGATTTTTTTTTTTGCAAATAGAGTAGAGATGCGATTTTGAGAAAAGAATTAAATCCAGTTTCTGAGAATATGACAACCTCCTAATATGCCTATAAACGAAATGCTGATAAGCTTCGCAAGATTTGGTTTCCAAAAAAAATTGCGAGATAGAATGGAGATTCGATTTTCAAAACAGAATAAATGATAAATCCGGTTTCCGAGAATATGACCACCTCTATCGTTATCCTAGTATGCCTAGAAAACGAAGTGCTAACATCAGAAATTTTGGCTATGTATGCGAATATCAGAGAAACGGAATGCTACTTTCAGAAATTTTCAGATATTTGTTGCGTGAAAACGAAATGCTAAGATCAGAAATTTTCAGATAAAACGAAATGCTATTATCAGGAATTTTCAGATATTTGTTGCGTGAAAACGAAATGCTAACATCATAAATTTTCAGATAAAACGAAATGCTATTATCAGGAATTTTCCGATAAAACGAAATGCTATTATCAGAAATTTTCAGATACTTGTTGCGAGAAAGAAAAAAAAAATTCAGAGATTTGACGAAGTCCTACTTGATTTACTAATAAACAATCTATAGATCAAGCAAGCTGGCTACTTGATTGAGCGGGTCCTCTGATTGAGAGGTCCGCTCCGATACCAAACTGTTGCGTACCGTAACGGTGCAGACCAGAACAAGAACCGACCTCTCTCACAAAGTACAAGATAGCGTAGCGGAAGACTTAGATACCAATGATCTGAACAATCAAT